CTCATGGAGCCTCAACTCCCTTGCAACACCCAGCAGGCCTCTGCAGGGCCTGGAGGCTGAACGCGTGCATGCGTGCGCCTGGGTGTGAGTGTGTGTGGCGTTGGGGAGGGGTGTGGTGGACCGGAAAGGGAGGCTCTGACTCTGGGAGCAAAGGATTGGGTTTGGAAAGGAGTCAAAGCCCTAGATGGGAACATTTTGGCGGGAATGCTTCACTGCCCTCTTCTGGCCTCTGCAGGTTCAGCTGGCCGCACCCCCAGTCCCCCTTTCCAAAAGCCAGCTTTCTCCTTCTAGCCTGGGAGGAGCCAGGGCCCAGAAGGTGAGACAGGTCTGACTTCTAGGGTTCCGGGAGGGCCAGAGCTGCTCAGGGACCAGGGACAGAGCTCCCTGCCACAGGGGTGTACAAGCGCTCCTGGGAGCTGTGCAGGCTGCCAGAGCATGTCTAGTCTTGGCCATGGCCAAGTTACTAACCTCTTTCTGCTCTAGTTTCCTTCTCAGTAATAGGAGGGCTGTGAGGACTAAAATGAGGACAAACTGCTTAGCGTGGTGCCTGGTGCAGAGGAGGTATGTGTATGTGTTTGCTCTTACTATCTGAGCCTGTTTTCTCATCTAAAAAATGGGTGAGGGGCCCTGGCTGGTTTGGCTCAGCAGTTGGAGCTTCGGCCTGCGGTCCAGAGAGACCTGGGTTCAGTTCCCGCTAAGGGCACGCACCTTGGTTGCAATTTGTCCCCGGCCCTGGTTGGTCGTGCGGGTGGCAGCCACCCAATGTGTCCCTTTCACATCGATTTTTCTCTCTCTCTCTCTCTTCCTGTCTCTCCCTCTCACTCTGTCTGAACAAAAAATGGAAAAGTGTCCTCGGGTGAGGATAAAAAAAAAAATGGGTGAGGGGAGGATGCCAGAGGTGCCCCCCGCCCAGCCATTGTTCTGGTTCCAGTCTGGTGTTATCGCCAGGAAAGCTACCACCTATGCCCTGCAGCCCTTCCCAACTCTGTCCCTCTTTTGCCTGGGGCATTCTCATGCTCTGCCGGGAGGCCAGTCATCAAGGAAAGCTGGGTTTGATGGGTTTCTGGGCTGGGTGCCCTCAGGTTACCCCTTAGTGTCTGTGGGATACACGTCAGAGGAGTGGGGAGTTTCCCTTCTTGGATGAATCAGCCGTGTGACCCAAGCCTCTGTCCCTGCCACGGCCCCTCCCAGCAGGCAGGAGTGGGGTGCAATAGTCCTGCTGGGAAAATCCCCAAAACCTTGCCAAAACTCGGGCTGAAGCTTTCTCCAGATTCAGCTACTGCTTGTTCTCCCCAGTCCAGCGCCCCGTCCCAGCTGGGATCAGGAGTCAGAGAGTCTCCCCAATCCTTGCCAGTCCCTCTTGAGCCTCCTCCCTGGGCCTTTCGGGTTCTCAGTGCCTGTGAGAGAAGGTGAAGAATGGGGGGGTGTCTCCTCTCTCTGACCTCAGTCTTCCTTTCTGGGTTTTGTAAACGAGAGCTTGTCCAAATCTACCAGCCTAGCCCACCCTGGACTGGGCTACTTCCTTATCCCCATGTGGGAAGGGGCCAGCCAAACAGGGCAGAATGTCTTATCAGCTTGAAGGGGTGGGTCTTGGGGAGCCCTTGGCCTGGCAGGAGAGTAATACCCATGGTAGGCCTGGGAGATCCTTCCTGCCCAGGTAGGCTAAGTCACTACTCTCTGGGCCTGTTTTACTACCAGTAAAATGGGACTCTCAGTCCTGGCCCAGCCTCTCTCCCAGGTGGTTCTGAGGACCCAACCTGTGTGCTTTACAAATCAGAGCCCAGGTCCTTTCTGGGTCTTGTTTATTTTTGCAGCACCTCCCCCAACCTCAATAGCACTTTCTGATAGTGGGGATTCAACAACGCATCAGGTACTCTGGAGTTGGATGACCTGGATTCAAATCTTGTCTCTGCCACTTATGGCTCTGTAACCTTGAACCAATTACTGAACGTCTCTGGGCCTCAGTTTTCTCTTCTGCAAAATGGCAATAACAGTAGAGTCAGGGAGGCTTGGGTGAGATAATGCATGAAAACACTTAGCACAGTGCCTGGTTCATGTTATGAACAGAATGAGGACACAGGCCCAGACAGGAGTAACTTTCATCCAATCACTCATTTATTCAATACTGTTCATTTGGCATTTGTGCTAGGCCAGGGTCCTTTGCTGGACACTGAGGCCACCCTGAGGGATAAAGCGCAGCCACTGTCTTTGAGGTGGCCCAGACACACAGATGAGAGCCACAGGTGGGTAGGTGTTATGGGAGCCTGGGGTGCAGAAAGATGGGGGAGGAGAAATCTCTGAGAAAATGAGCCAATGGTGGTGGGACTGAGAAGCAGAGTTAGCCAGGAATGCAGGCAAGGGTCAGGTACATCAAGAGAGATGAGCCCCGCCGGTGTGGCTCAGTGGTTGAGCGTTGACCCATGCACCAAGAGGTCACCGGTTCAATACCCGGTCAGGGCACATGTCCAGGTTGTGGGTCTGATCCCTAGTGGGGGCCATGCAGGAGGTGGCCAATCGATGTTCTCGCTCATCAATGTTTCTCTCTCTCTCTAAAAATCAATAAAGAAAATATATTTACTTTTTTTTAAATCTTCACCCGAGAACATTTTTTTCCCATTTTTGTTCAGATAGAGTAGGAGGGAGAGAGAGAGAGAGAAACTTTGATGCGAAAGGGACACACGGAGTGACTGCCTCCCGCAGGGCCGGGGATGAATTGCAACCGAGGTACAGGCCTTTGACAGGAATTGAACCCGCGACTCATTGGTCTGAGGGCCAATGCTCTAACCCCTGAGCAAAACCAGCCAGAGCAAAAAAATAAAGATGCCCTGGCTGGTTTGGCTCAGCAGTTAGAGCGTCAGCCTGCAGTGCAGAGAGACCCGGGGTTCAGTTCCTACTAAGGGTGCACATCTTGGTTTCAGTTTGTCCCAGGCCCCGGTTGGGGTTGTGCAGGAGGCAGCCACTCGATGGGTCCCTTTCACATCGACGTTTCTCTCTCTCTCTCTTCCTCTCTCTCCCTCCCACTCTATCTGAACAAAAATGAAGAGATGTCCTTGGTGAGGATGAAAAAAAAAGAGAGAGATGACAGCTTGTAAGCAAAGACAAAAGTGAGAAAGACCAGAATATGTTCAAGAAAACCACAGGCAGCTCCTGATTCTGGAACAAGAAGAGTGAAGCTGGGAGTGGAAAGATGGGGCTGGAGGGACTGGCAGGGGCTGGATTTGAGCCGTGTACTCAATTCAGTTAATAATTTATGGAGAGGCTGCTTCAAGGCCAAACACTGCTAGGCTCTGGGGATAGGGCTGAGATTTAGACATTGTTCCTGCCTTCACTGAGTTCACATTCTGGGCATGTGGCTTGGGGGCCAATGGGAGATAGACAGCAATCAAATGATTACATAAGTAACCTCTCCATCCTTGCTGTCCAACAGGTGTTCATGCAGAAGGAACAGCCTGCGGCTCAGGGCTGTGTGCCAGGGGGTGAAGGAAGTGCCAGTTGGCTCCAGTGGGGTGAGCATGGGCAGAAAGAGGCGCCTGAGGGAAGCTGGGGCAGTTGGGAGGGGGGCTAGGTCATCGCCGGCCCAGGAGAGTAGACTCTATATTACAGTCCGAGGAGCCACAGAAGGGCTGTGAGTAGGAAAGGGATGCAGGCAGCTCTGCAGGAGAGCTGACTGGTAGGGGGTGCAGAGGGAGACGTGGGAAGAAAACGGGGCAGAGGAGACAAGTTACAATGGTTTGGGACCATGAGGATGGAGAAGGGATGAGTGTATGAAATGATTCGTTATGGAAGAACCAGGTGGTGCTAACATTTTTTTGTGGGACCCGAAGGCCTAACCAGGATTCCCACAAGCCTTGGCTCACGTTGGTCAAGTGCAAAGCACTGATGCTCTGAGAAAGGCAGGGCACCAGGCTCTAATTTGGAGACCACCCAGCTCTGGGGACTTTCCAGAGTTGGGCTCAGGGGGGATTCAGACCTGGGGGAACTGGGGGTGGGGAGCAAGTTGGGGAAGGGGCCAAGCCAGCATCTGACTCATCCACTTCCACCTAGTCAGCCCAGTGGCATCTCCGCTCCCCTGCTCCAAATTCCAATTTGGTGAGGATGCTGGAGGCTGAGTCAGCTCCGGCACGAGAGCAGTGTCCCAAGGAGCTTCCTGCCAGACACTTTGGCCAACAACCAAAGCCAAGGCCAGGGATGGGGTTGGGAGGGTGCAGAGTCAGGTTCTGAGGCTACCAGAGCCTCAGCCCAGCAGAATCATGTGAGTGAATGTGCCTGGTGGGTTGAGAAGAGATCACTGTGGGAGAGGCCAAGGGCCACACTATGACTGAGGAAGCAGCAGGGATAGGAGTACAAGTCCCAGCTCCAACTGGCTCACAGCATGGCCCAAGGGAATTCCCTTCCCCTCTTTTTTTTTTTTTAATTTAAAAAAAAAATTTCTTTATTGAGAGAGGAAGGGAGAGGGAGAGAGAGAGAGACGTCGATGAGAGAGAACATTGATTGGCAGCCTCCTGCATGCCCCCCACTAGGGATCAGGCCCACAACCTGGGCATGTGCCCTGACCAGGAATCGAACCGGCCACCTCTTGGTGCATGGGTTGATGCTCAACCACTGAGCCACACCAGCTGGGCTCCCTTCCCCTCTTGGCTTCAATTTCCTTGACCAGAGAATAGTGCCAACATCTCCTAAACAAGTTGTGAGAGTTCAATAATGCATGTGGAAGTGCTTTGCAAACTATCCAGTACCCCGTGATGTGAGAATGGTGGAGGGGTGAGGATAAACGGGAGGGCTCCCAGGGCTGCTTATGGCTGTGCAGGCTGTTCACTGCACAAGGATGTCCAGCCCATCCTCTGTTCACCAGACCATGCGCCCTGACCTACGACTGCTAAGACCAGGAGTGTACCTGTCTCTACAGGCACCCTGGGGGCTAGTAGTGGCCCATTGGACTTTGCTGGGCCAAGCCCCTGGATTTATGGGAAATCACTGAGAAACTGATTCTGATTCTTGGGATGGAGGGGAAGCAGGGCTGGCTTTGCAGAGGCTCTCAGAGAGGTTCCCAACTTTGGCATCCAGGTGTATCATATTACTGGTGGCAGTTAGGAGGGCCCAGTCAGGGCAGAGGTGCAAGCTTTCCTGGCCCCGCCTCTCCAATAACCAAAGCAAGTAACCACTAACACAGTATTTTAAAAAACACTCAAGACACAGACCCGAGCTGGGTTTTATTGAAATGCCAAGAGCAGGCACATGACAAGGTAATGAAGGAAGGAGGAAGGGTGGTGCGATTGTGAGGTGACAGGAAGGAGCAGACCCCATGTCCATGGCTCTGGCATCCCCTTTCTTTGCCAGAGGCTAAGTGGGAACAATCACCACCCCCTCTAAAAAATGGCATGCTCAGGCCTGCAGGGCTTCTGCACCCTGGACTGTGAAGGCTCCAAGGAGAGGGACTGGAAGCACTAAGTTTTCAGTTTTCTCTCTTGTGAGGGAGAAAGAGAGGACGGGGGAGGGATACAAGAGGGGAAGGTAAACCCAAGGCTGAGGATGGCCAAGGAAGGTTCTCCTTCTGGGTGTCTGCACCCAGACTGTGGTCCTGGATGGCAGGGGGGAGCAGCAGCAAAGAGAGGCTGAGGGTCCGGCCCTCAGAGAGCCAGAGCCTCCAGTTGATGGGGACTTGAGTCAGCTCTGAACAGAGGGCAGAAGTTCAAGGGGATTGAAGATGCAGGCAGTTCCAGCGTGACCTAATCCTCAGAGCTGGGGGACTTGTCCTCCTTGGGACAGGAAGGAGGAAGACGGAGGGGACGCGGAGGATGGTCTTCCACACATAGCCCCACTAGGTCAGTTCCACATTGTTGGCGCGGTCCAGCACACGGGAGCCACGAGCACTGCCCCCTAGCTGGAAACGACTCTCATAGAGAGTGGGGCAGAGGTGCCAACGGTTGGCCCGGTAGATGCCCAGATAGGTGTAGACATCAGGCTTGTAGGTGAGCAGGCACTTAATGCCCGCTGCACGGATGGCTGCATCTGCCTCCAGCACACCCAAGCGGTCCGTGAAGTCGTCCGTGTAAACACAGATGACCTGGCGCCCACCCTCCTTGGCCCGTGGGCTCACCTTGGCCACCTGAAGCCGGCCCTCAACCACAGCCCGAGCAATGCCAGCCCAGGCATGGTCCAGCTTGAAGCCAGGTGCCAGGTGCATCAGCCACTTGCCCGAGAGCACGTGGTGGGTGATGGCCAGCTGACGGAGGGTACCCGGGGTGATGGGCCGCCCACTGGTCTGCAGAGCCTCCCAGGCTGCTTGCAGGCCCTGCACATCGCCAGAGTTGGGGATGTAGCCCTGCCCATATGCTGCAATCCAGCCCACGGGCTCAGAGTTGGGCGAGCTGGGATCCCCGTAGCGGGTAACTTGGGATGGTGGGTACTTGGCTAACCAGGCATCCAGCTCGGAGGCAGGTGTGGTACGGGCATCAAACACCAACCAGGGGTCCATGTCAGCTGCCATGGCCTCCGCAGCCAGGTGTTCAGCAGTGAAGCCATCCTCACGGCCGCCTGGAGAGTCCTCCTCCTCCAGCTCCTCACCTGGCTCTATCCTGCTATGAGGGAACCGAAGTAGGGTTCATAACAGATCTATAGCTTACTGGGCCCTAGTGGGTGCCAGGCACCGCATTAAACTGTGTGGCCTTGGGCAAGGCTTAATGTCCCTGTGCCTTAGTTGCTTTATGTTTACAATGGATAACTTCTGTTCCTGGCCCATAGTGCTGTTGACAATTAAATGCCTGAGATGGAATAAGTGCTACATAAGGGTTGTTGCTAATGTTATTACTATGCTCCCTGATTTACAGACAGAAAAATGAAGCTCAGAGAGAAGAGACTTACCCAAGGTCACACCTGTAGTGAGCGACTGGGCCGAAATGTGAATTCTGGTGTGGGAGCAATTGGCCCAGCTACACCTCCTGGCCCCGCTAGTGACTGGCAGGTATCCCGAACGCTGGCATTTAATGCAGGGAGGCGAAGGAGCCCTCGTTCGCGCTGCACGGAGGCAGGCCCTACAGGGCCAGGCCTCCCGGGCGGGCGTTATCCGGTCCACTTAAAAATGAGGACACTGAGGCCCAGGAAGGGCAATGACGGGTCCGAGGCTAATGGGGCGATGCCCGGGCTCGAACTCCGGCTTATTAGAGCCTACGGGAGGGCCAGCTTCCGGTCCCGCCGCGCCCCCCGCCATTAGCGCCCACGGCCAGAGCTTGGCCCCCGCCCGGCCCTGCCCCCTCCCGCCGCCCCGCCGTCACCTTCGGCCTTCGCTGCGCTCGGCACCGGCCCAGCCCCGGGCCCGGCTTCGCTCCTGCCGGGGCTCCGCGCCGCCGCCGCCGCTGCCGCGCCCCGCCCCCGCCACGGCCGCCGCCGCCGCCGCCATCTTAGCGCCCTGCCGTCTCAACAACAACTTTATAGACAAGCGCAGTACGGGGCGGGGCCACCGGGCCGGAGCTGCCGCGCCGCGGGGCGGGGCCAGCCAGAGAAGAGGCAGGTCCGGTGCTGACCTCGGGGGCGGGGCCAGAGAGAACGAGGGAGGTGCGGGCCGGCGGGAGGCGTGGCTAACGTTCGCTCTTCTGGCCCTGGGGACGGGCGGGGGCTGTGGTGCTGTCCGGGACTGACGCGCACCGCCTGGGAGGCTCCGAGGGAGGGCACTCGGGCCCTGAGAGCGGCGTCTCTACCGGCGGCGCTAGGACCCAGTGGGGAGCGGCGGGTGTCCAGCGGGCGGCACCAGGACCCAGGGGAACCTCGGCGGCGGGCGGCGAGTAGGCCCCGGGGCCGGGTGGCTGCGGGCGGCGGCGCTAGGCCCGGCACGGCGAGAGAATCCCGGAGATGCCGAGCAAGAAGAAGAAGTACAACGCGCGGTTCCCGCCGGTGAGCACGTGGTCGGGTCCGTGAGGAGAGGGCTCGGCCCCGGGGAGGCTCGGGCCCAGGCCCCGCTGGGGGGCGGACGCAACGCGGTGTTTGGGGGCCTAGACGCCCCGCCCCCTTCCGTGCCCACCCCACATCCTGGTCCCCCTCCCCCGCCCCCTTTCTCCTGGGATACCCGCTCGCTTTCCCCAACTCCCTTTTCTGGGATAGAGGCGATGGGGTCCGAGCGTTCCGCCTTCTCCCCAGGCGCGGATCAAGAAGATAATGCAGACGGACGAAGAGATTGGAAAGGTGGCGGCGGCTGTGCCTGTCATCATCTGTATCCTCTCGGGGACTGGCTGGGTTGAGGGACGTGGGGGGGGGGAGGCCGCCCGGGGTTGCCTTGTGTGGCCTAGGGCCCCACTCCCGCGTTCTCCTTGACGCCCCTGAGCCCGAGCGCTGGAGCTCTTCCTGGAGTCGCTTTTGAAGAAGGCCTGCCAGGTGACCCAGTCCCGAAATGCCAAGACCATGACCACATCCCACCTGTGAGTGGCCGCGGAGAAGGAAGGGCCCTGTGGGGCTCTGCCCCAGGAGTTCACACACTTAAGAGAGGCTGTCCTAGGAGGGCCACTGGCAAACAGGCCCTGGCCGGGAGGCTGCAGGTGGGAGGCTACTGGGAGACCAGCAAGGCCTTAGAGGCTGGTGGGTTTCAACTTGGAGAGAAAGGGTTGGGCCTTACAGCAAAGGGGCAAGGTGGGATGGTGGAGATGGGGTGGAGGTTTTCCAGGCTGCATTCTTCTGACATCCAGAGCTTCTCACTGCCCCTTGCTGAGAGCCCAGACATCTGGGCCCTGCCAGATGCCATCCTCTCCCCACCTCTTTCAGGAAGCAGTGCATTGAGCTGGAGCAGCAGTTTGACTTCTTAAAGGACCTGGTGGCATCTGTGCCTGACATGCAGGGGGATGGGGAAGACAACCACATGGATGGGGACAAGGGTGCCCGCAGGTGGGGAGCCGGGGCCAAGTGTCCAGGTGTAGAAGGCCAAGGCCACAGGGGTTGGAGGTGGCTGGGGGTTGGCAAAGGAGCAAGAAGATGGACTGTACCTTCCCAAAGGGGCCGGAAGCCAGGCAGCAGCAGCCGGAAGAATGGTGGGATGGGGAGCAAAGGCAAGGACAAGAAGCTGTCAGGGACAGACTCAGAGCAGGAGGTAAGTGAGGCCCCTAGCCCTCTGTCCTGCTCTAAGCTGGCTGGAGGCCTGATCCCATCCTCACCTGTGACTTGTGTGTATTTCTGTTTCTTTATGAATGGGGACTGTGGAGGTCAACCTCCTGTCCCTGCCATTCCCAGGGATCTGGGCTCTCCAGTGATGGGCCCATGCCTTTCTTATCATCTCTGACCCCTGCCTTGCTCCCAGGATGAATCTGAGGACACTGACACCGACGGGGAAGAGGAGACACCGCCGGCCCCACCCCAGGCCAGCCACCCCCCTGCCCACTTTCAGAGGTAAGCCGCTCAGTGGCTCCAGGAGGGTGCCAGCAGACATGTTCTTCTAGGCCTCCCTGGCCATTTGCTTCATTTGATGGTGGCAGATTTGGGGAATGGGAAGGGAGGAACTGAGGAGGGCTTAAAGACAGGAGACTGTGCTCTCAGAAGGTCCCTTTCTCTCCTGGGAGGGCAGTGAATGGAGCCTGGGTGGGTGCTGTGGGACTTGCTCTGAGCTCTTCCCTTTTCTGTGCTTGGCCCGCCTTTGGTACAGAGGGTGGTGGGCTCCATGCTGCTTGTGTGGAGGGTGGGGTGGGACGCAGTGGGCACTGGAGAGTAAACTGATCTTTCTCTCCTGCTTTCTGCCCTGCAGCCCCCCAACACCTTTCATGCCCTTCACCTCGACTCTGCCTCTGCCCCCAGCACCCCCAGGCCCCTCAGGACCTGATGCAGAGGACGAAGAGGATTATGACTCCTAGCGCCCTCTGCCCCCCAGGCCATACCCCCTTTTAGTTGGTTTTAGTTGTTCTGGGGGGAGGAAAGAAGGTAGAGCTGTTCTTAAATTTATTAAAAAATAAATAAATAAAAGGGAACATCAGTGTCTGTCCCAGCCTCTGTCCAGGGCTTTGTGGCCACCTTCCCATCCATCCACTTGACTTTCCACACTGAGCAGTGGTGAGCTGGGCAGTGGCTGAGTGAAGGAGGGGCTGGAGGCCATGGATCTGCTAGGGCAGGACCAGGGGTGCTGATGGAAGAAAGGTGGGTGGAGCGGTAGAGGGCCTGAAGCTGCAGGTGCTGGTCATGTTGGGGCACAACCTGTTTCATGCTGTGTGACCCTGGGCAGGTTCCTACCCTTCTCTGAGCAGCCTTTTTTATCTCTCTGATGAAGATCATTTTGCTCACTCTGGGCTACTGTGAAGAGATAGACGGGACGAGTAATAGGAACTGGACAGCTATGCCTGGTGCCACGAAGAGGGGAGGGGCAGTGGGAGCAGAGGTAGGTAGATGAGATTGTGGAGGGCCTTGAAGGCTGGCTTGTGAGCAAATCTGTTACCCAGTCTACACCCATGTCTGAGCAGTCTCTGGAGCTGCAGTGTCCATGAACACGTGCTCTCAGAGCGTGGCTCGGTGAGGCTGGGAGGAGGCCTGGGGAGCATTGGGCAGACTCGACGTCCGTGTCAGCAATGACACCAGGTGGCCGACTGGACGTGGGCTGAGAGGGAGGGAACCCTCAAGGACTCTCAGGTTTCTTTCTGCAGCAACTTGGGCAGGAGCCTTTTCTAGCTGGGGACACAGGAGGAAGAGCAGGGTATGACCTGGCGATCACAAGTTTGGCTGTGATGAATTTTGGGGTGCCTGGGAGGCTGCTGAGGAGAGGTGTGGAATGGTACTTGGATGTAGGGGTCTAGAGAGTAGGTGACCTAGCTCCACCAAAGGAGACTGAAGCCAGACCAAGGGTCCCCAGGAGCCACTGGTGGTGCCCTCCCAGGGGTGTCTGGGAAGAGGGAGAGGCCATGAAAGCCAGGACTCCTAGCGGGCTTTAGGGAAGCCTTTGCCAGAGCTGCCTCGGTAGCTGGTTGGTGAGGAGGCGGGAGGGCTGGAGGCGAGCAGCAGGTGAGCTGAAGCAACACTGCTCAGGGCTATGAAGTGGAGATGAGAGCAGCTCAGTGCAGGGGAGAAAGTATTTGCTTGTTTTTCAAGATGGTAGAAATGCAAGCTTGTGGTGCGGGAGGGGTGAAGAGACAGGATGGAGAAGAATTAATGGAGTGAGGGAAGGGGTGTCCCAGGCGACACCCCCCTGACGAGGGAGAGTTCGGTGGGTAAGTTTGGGTAGGAGGATTGCGGTATTGAGTTTTTTTGTTTTTGTTTTTTTTAATCCTCACCCGAGGATATTTTTCCATTTATTTTCAGACAGAGTGGGAGGGAGAGATAGAGAGAGAAACCTCCATGTGAGAGAGACATGTCGATTGGTTGCCTCCCACACCATCCCGCCCGCCCGGGGCCTCAGCTGTGCCCTTGACCGGATCGAACCTGTGACTCCCTGGTCTGAGAGCCAAGGTTCTTTTTTTTTTTTTTTTTTTTAGTTTTTTTTATCCTCACCCGAGGATATTTTTCCATTTTTTGTACAGATAGAGTGGGAGGGAGAGAGAGTGAGAAACATCAACGTGAAGGGACACATCGAGTGGCTGCCACCCGCAAGGCCAACCAGGGCCGGGGACAAACTACAACCGAAGTACGTGCCCTTAGCGGGAACCGAACCCGGGTCTCTCCGGACCGCAGGCCAATGCTCTAACCGCTGAGCCAAACTGGCCAGGGCATGAGAGCCAAGGTTCTAACCACTGAGCAAAACCGGCTAGGGCTTGAGGGGTTTTTCCCCATTTATTGATTTTAGAGGGAGAGGAAGAGAGAGATAGAAACATCAATGAGAGAAGACATGGATTGGCCACCTCCTGCATACCCCCCACTGGGGATTTAGCCCACAACCTGGGCATATGCCGTGACTGGGATTCGAACAGGCGAATGCTTGGTGCATGGGTCAACGCTTAACCACTGAGCAACACCGGCCAGCCTAGGGCTTGAATTTGTATCTGCGATGCCTGACTTCTGTGAAATAGGAGGCTGCTGGCTGCTGTGGACTGGCCAAGGCAGCTGGAGCATGGGGCCGTGTGGGTCTCGTCTGCCTCCTTTGCTCACCCTCTGGTTATAGTGTCCCTGCTTTCTTTGGAAGAAACATTTCTCCTCTACTCAACCTGTGGTGTGTGTAGCAGATCCTACTCCCTAGGGAGATGGGCGAGACCTTCGCACCAACCTGGCCAGTCACAGCTTCGCACATGCTCTGGCCATGGTGAGTGGTGCAGGCAAGTTGCTAGGATTTTGGGTGGAACTATTTAGAAAGGATCACTGGCTTCTCAGTGGCTCAGGGGACAGTAGGACAGTCCAGGTGAACCCTGGCTGGTGTGGTTCAGTGGTTAGAGTGTTGACCCATGCACCGAAGGGTCACAGGCTTAATTCCCAGTCAAGGGTACGTACCTGGGTTGCAGGTTCTATCCC